CTACCGAGATGGTGACAGTCAACATGTGCTTCAGGCTCTCGGAGCTTCCAGATTTTTCTTATCATACACCTTCTCAGATTTAGTTCTCCTTATAACAAACCTATCAGCTGCAATTTCAGATGATATTCTTATTCTGAGCCCACTGCTATCCTCTCGTTCTACCCTTTTCAAGCGACTACGTGAATGTAGTTGTGCAACTGATACCCATAATTAAAGTGAAGATTTCACTTCTGCTTAATTTACGCAATCTGTGCTGTAACTCCTGAGTGAGAAAGAGCTTCTAGAATTGCTTTCGATTTACGAAATGAGTAATTTCAGGAGATATGGGCAAGTTTCAAAATTGTTATAAAAAGTGGTAAAAAAGAGTCAGTGTTATCATGCTTTATGACTTGATATTCTTTGGCAAGATAGAGATCCCATAATATGTGGATATGATTAGAAAATGGAGGTAAGTACTTTGCTCAAGCTGCTCTTGGGTGTTGAGAACGGCAGTGAGTTAAAGCGCTATTCCCCTTAAAGAAGGTACAAAAGTCTTTGAATTAAAGTATTTAACTGCTAAACTTTGCCTCTTTTTGATGAGACTAGGAACTTGATTAATTTATGCTGAAATAGACTTTGTGATTTTCATTCTCATGTTTTAGATCAGAGAGTGAAGATAAAAAAGTGTTCAAAGTCAAAATTAATCAGCACAGTACCATATACAAGTGCGTTGAACTAAGTGGACAAGCTTTTCCTATTCAGCCCATTACTGAAAAAAGTAATTTTTTCTATTCTATTACTTGCAATTTCTACAGACATCCATTAACTACAAAACCTTTTGGTAATTTTTCAAGTTTATACCAACCACATAGCACTTAGCTGCTCTTCATGAAGCGGCGATGTAATTGTTGATACAGCCCTAATAAGAAAGTACAATAAAGAACAGCAGAAAATACAATCCTAACATATTCCTTCTTAGGTGCCTTTTAACTATGTTTTTCTCGAGGATTACTGAGGGCACATTTGCATAGCTAGGTGTGGTTCACTAGAAGTTGAAAAGCAATGAATTACTGCTTTTATACCATATTGGGTAAAATCACGCAAAAATATCAATTATCTAGGTGAGCAACACAACTTTTAAGAAATCACTGTAACGTTACTT